CCTGAAGCCCACCTTGGAATATTTCTTTCCCAACTTGTTACTGGGGTCTGGCATTCTCAAGAGGGAGAAGTTTGGGCTCAGTTTGAAGCTGGATCTGCTGAGGTTGCCTGAACTTGACACGTCTTTTGCTTGGATGTTCTTCTCATTGATGTGGAATAAGCTGGCTGATGTGTTGATGCCGTATAAAAAAGCAACAGATTCCTCTGCCATTTGATCCAGTTGAACCAAATGYTCACTGACCAGTTCAAATCTGTAAGGAACAGCAATATTAGCTATTTTTGAATATTCACATTTCATGCATTTAGCTGCAACTTGGTTTCTTCTCCCAGTGACGTGTAATTTAGTTATGAATGAACATATGTGACTGCTGTGTGTTCAGGGGAGGATGGATCTTATCAGAGCACAAAATCAAGCTAACAACTGGAACCAAGTCACGAGGTAGAGTTCCCTGTATCCTGAACAGCTATGTGATATAAACTGCTATGCACTGTTGCTCAGTTCTGGTCTGATCTAAYCTCAAAACCATTTTGGAAATACAGACCTTCTCCATACCTCTCTGAGGTCTATCTGCCGTCCTCCCCCTGCTTGCACTGACAGCAAATCATTTCAATGTCCTCCAGTGTGAAGACCGAAAATGACATTGCTGACCTTTTCTGGACCCTTTTTTAACTCTAAGGACACTATTGCAGCCACCAGGAAAGCCAGGGTTACCTGTATGGGTCTAGATTGCAGATAGTGATTGCTGGAAACATCTTGGGCTCAGAATGCATCGACATGGTCAGGACAGTGGGGTAGGCCCAATATTGGCTGAACATAAGCGCAAACTGCCAGTATAACATGCCAAAGCTGGCAAGCAAAAGCAGGGTCCAAAAAGCCGTTTTCATCCTGTTGCTGTCCGAGCACACGAGGCGGATAGTGCCATGGATGGTCGTGTTCTTGCAGAAGAACTCAAACATGTCCTTGAAGGAGTCATAAAACTCAATCAAACCTTCTTTTCTCTCTTCTTCCTCTCTTGCCACTTCCTGCTCCATCCTCTAAGCCTGTTTCTGATTAAAAACAAATAAAGAAGTAAAAGGCAAAGGGAGTTATTAGTTCGCAAGACCGGCCATGCTCTTTCCACGGACTCTTTCAAGCAGGGCACTGATGAGTTCACTATTTACAAAAGCTGGAAATAACTTCAGGCTGACACCCATCCTGTCTTTCCACGGTTTGGACACCAGGAAGTAGCAGAGAAGCAAATGTCCTCTTTAAGTGACTCTACTGTGATAAATCTGTTAGTATAGGTACGTATGCAAAGCTAAAATGACTAATGGCCATGCCACTAAAGGCTGAACCTAAAGGGATGTGTAGTTCTCTCTTCCTACGGTTCCTACAGACCAACATTTAATTCAGAAACGTGGTATCGCCATCTATTTATTCATTAATAGGAATATTTTGCTAGTAAAATAGATGCTGGGCTAGTAGTCATGGACAAAGCAATTCTTAGTAGTRTGGTTTCACCCTGATGGGAAGGAGCTGGAGGATGAATCCCACTTTAAAGCACCTGAAAGGGGCACATTGGGATCTGTATTTAATAATATTTGYGGCGTGACAATTTGTTTTACAGAATGGATGTGGCCAGGAGTAATGACTTGGTCCTTCCCTTAACGTGGCCATTTTCACCATTATACCAGGAGGTGTTTCATAGTCCATGGGAGCAGAGCAAAGTATATAGAAAAAGAAGTAATTGAAACCACAGAGGGAATTTTCAAAGCTAAAATGCAATTAACCAAACTGCAGCTATTACTTGCAACAAAACATCCTTGGRATATTTTAGAAGACTACAACAATATTAATTTGTGGTATTGGGAGAAATTTTGCCACCTATCTTATTAATAAAGAGTTTACTCCAGCGATTTGAAAGCTGTTTTTACAAAGGAGACACTGTCCTTATCTCTCTTTGGCAGAGTGAAGATGAAGAATTTTCTGAAGAAATGGAAAATCACCCACAAGGGCTGGCATGACTGGAAATCAAAAGCCACATCTCCTTTCCCAGGGTAAATGCATGATCCATTAAGCTACTCAAGATAATGCGGACTTTGTGCTGAGGAGAAAGAATGAGAAATGTATATGCTCGTATGTTTTAACCAGCAAGGATCAAGAACATTTTCTTTGGCTTTAGTATCGACTTAGGACATGGGAATAGTTGTGTGTCACTGACTGAACCGTGATAGGAAGCCCTGTAACGCGCGAGTTTCCAGCATTGCAGCACCCTGTGAATCACTCGACCTGCTACGCTCCCGAGAGGAGAGTTGGAGGACACCACTTTGGGCCACCCTTACTCAAGATAAATCACACAAATTCCATAACAATTCCAAGATGAGCTAAGAAGCACACAAAAATAACTGAATGTTGCTGTAACGCGAAAGCTCAGACCTTTAACTGAGTTATGGCACCGAAATACATTAGCTTCCTAACCTGAAATCTCCTCCTGCTCAGTGACCACCCTCTTCACGGAAACGTGGTCTTATCTCAAGGGTCCTTGGACTAAGACACTCTGGATGAAACGCTATCTTAAGGGAGTTACAAACCATTAACACAATCCCTTGCATGCACCTACTGATAACACTAAGACCAAGAATAATCCTTAAACGGTGAGGATTTCTCAAAAAGCTGCACACCAGTTAGCTTTATGAGAACTGGCTCACAAAAGCCTGTTATCTCACAAGGGAACCTGGCTGACTCGAGGTTTTTTCCCCGCAAAATCTTACTAAACTTATATAAACCTTTTGTAATTAAATATGACGAGTTATTTTTCGCTTTTCAAGATACAGCTTTGACGAGTTAGAATTGTAAGTGCAGCCAGTTATAATCCTAAGTACAGGAAGGCAAAATAATATGTAAAATAAATACAAGGAGGGCTTCAACAACTAAAACTGTGACAAAGAAGTTGGAATTAGACATTCCCATTTTGCTGCCAGGAAGCACTGCTTTCTGCATTGATAAGATATAGTTAAACCCTGAATGTATAGTTATACTTAAATAAAGTATTTCCATGCAGATGCCATCAGGCCACAGCACCCTGGAGCACAGACTACAGCTTTCAGCAGCTCACCTTGCAGCTGCAGGTTTGCATCTAGATGCTGCTTCTGCAAAAAAAAAAAAAAAAAAAAAAGGCCACCTCTGGCAAACTCTAGAAATGAATTCATAGCAGTCTGTCTACCATCAATTTGTATATAATCTCGTCAGATTAGATTTTTAAGGTAAATCCTGTGTTTAACCAAAATGAGATTCAGCCCTTTTTCATTTCACTTCAATAGGAATAAACACCAAGAAGTCTGCAGAGTGTAAGAAAGCACCTGGGAACATCCAAATCATTTGCCCTCAGTTTCTACACATTCTGACCTGGCTCCTAAACCTATGGCTGGTTAGTCCATACCACTTAACTCTGCATTCTTAACATAACTGCTAAAAAAAAAAWCCTATAAGATAATGTGAAATAATAGGGAATCTTCCAAAGCACTCATACAGGCAACAGAATATCCCCTCTTTCTCTCTGTTTCCCAAGCCAGTCTAGCACTGCATTTATTTAACAGAGCAATTGCAGTCAGTTACTTAGCAATATATATAAGAGCAAATGTTTACCTATCCTGGCTTTAACTGCCTTGAGAGGTTGCAGGTTATCAGAAAGTCGGTTATACAGCAGTGTCTCACAATATATGTCCATGTATAGTCCCAGCTGCTCCGTCACACCAGCTCGATGCTCAACACACACACTAAACCCTACACACATCATGTAGCCAAATACTTAAACACATGCATGTATATCTTTACATATCAATCACACGTAGCTACAGAAATACACCTTAAAATAGAGCAGACCCAATGTGAAAATGCCCCTACGGTACCTTGGTAGAAACTCTGTCTCTGTTGAGGCTGCTCAGAGCAGCCTCTAAGCCCAGGCTCAGCTTTACCCTCAACGGGAGCCACGTCGTGGTCCGCAGCTTTCGGATCTCCTTCCCTAACTGAACATCTGTGGGAGCTGTCCAGCCTATAAGGATCAAATTGATGACATCAAAAAGGGCAGGACTTATTAAGAAACAGATCATAGAAATTATTCAAAGTATGATCCAAGGAATAGGAAGTGAAAGAACTGGACAAACAAGTTAAGGTCACACTTAAGGGTAGTTTGATTGTGGGTTTTTTTTGTTCATCGGAATTTTTTCTTTTCAACTTTCTACAAAGAGTGAGCTGTGGATCCCAGAAGGTTCTTTCTTCTCCAAGGTTTCCTATCAAGGAATTATCTTTCTCTCTACGTTTTGTGCTTTCTGGGAGATTGCACGACCTCCAATAATTAAAGCCATTAAGATTTCCACAGGCGAGCTTGAGGAATTGCACACCTTGGTGTAAGCTGAAATGTTCAGCTAACTCATTTAAGCCACATGTTGTTTATTGGGGAATTCACTATAGCAGGGGACATTTTCCTGCTTCCTGCTTTCCTGAACTATATATACAGAGCAGGCTACCCCATGGGCATTAAAAATACAGTAATTCTTCAGATGCTGTGCACTGAACAGACTCAATTTGAGCTATTAACCACGATAACTTACTTAAACCCTTGCTTGTGTAATACTACTTAGTTGGTATTAAAAAAGCTTTGCTTTTTTACACCAACTTTACACCAACAAAGCTTTGCTTTTTTAATAGCATGAATACAACAGAAATATATTCAGAATTCTGGGGCTGCTGAATGCCTGGGATTACAGGTGCAATCAGTAGGGACCTCTGTCCAGCTGCAACCACGCTATCGTTTGCCTGACTCCAATTATAATAGGAAACGATCTAATGATCTGGATATGGGTGGTGTTTTGAGCTGCAAATCTGAACAGCAGAGCTCCAGCTTCTAAACGTGGTTGGGTGTTAGTTTTTCTAGTACACTGGAAGCTGTGAAATATCTTCATGTGCAAAATGAAATATAATCAGGTTTTCTTGTAAAATCGAATTGAAAAGGAAGGAAGAAAGGATATGGATGGAGGAAAGGATGTCTGCCTGATTCTGACAAGTTCCAATCATTTCTCCAGCCTGTTCACATTCTTTGATGCTTGTTTTGTGCTGGAATCAGTGTAAGTACTTTCATTTCATCTTTAAAAGCTCTCCTAAAAGAAGAGAATCCCACCAAACAGCTGCTAGTTAAATGCCTTTCATAGTAAATATCCTTTAGTACAAAAGGGGAATTTTACAAAACTTTACAATACTAGGAAAATGTTTCGAATTTAAAGCAAGCCACTACTTTTGAGTGGAAAAGAAAAATAGTTTTGATTAAAAAGAAGCCCATTGGCTATTGAATCAGGAGTCAAAGCCCAGCTGCTTGTCAAGGGCCCAGGAAAACAAAATGGAAAAGCTCCCCAACCAGGACTCTACCTCTGTCACGTCCATTTAGGTGCCTCACCCTCTCTCTCTCCATTTCAGATTGTGCAACAGAAAATGACAACTATAAATCCTTGACAATGAACGTCTTGCACAACGAACGTGCACAGGACAAGCTCTTTGTTGCTTCATTATGGCTGCAGGCCTCAGCACGGAGATTTTCTGGCAGTGCCTCAGAATAACACCCGAGMTGCCCATGAAATCTTTCTGCAGGAAAGGGAGAAGAACTGGATATACAGAAAAGAAGTGGCCCYCAAGCAAATGCCATTTCCCTGCCTGCACTGGCTTGCTTGTCATATCCTAAACTGGGAGAAAGGGAGATGAAACTCTTTGGTTAAGGTAAGCTGGTGTTTCTTTCAATATGTGGAGGTAGGTTATGGAAGCAACATGCACAAGAGAGTCCCTTGGAGTTGCAGTTTTCACCCATTTGATCGCTGAAATGAAAATTATATGAATTCTATACGAAGAATTTCTATATGAAGAAAGTGCCTTTGAATACATGCCTGCTTTGCCAGCTTAGAGCAGCACCAGCTTAGAGCACCAGCTTAGAGCAGCAGCAGAGAGGTACAAAGAGGATCCTGCAGGCAATGAGATTTTACCTGCTTCCCATGGGCAAAAAAAATAGTCCATGAATCAATGATCCTTGTGGAACGGACTCAAGCCCTTAGAGAAATGTTACCAGATGATAATTTCTATCCCTGAATGTTTTCCAACTGCTGGTGGATGTCAAAAAGCAGTTTGATTTGCTCTCCACAGAGTAAGCCTCTTGCCATATTGACTTCAGTCGCTTTGGACACTGAGCAGAGGRACTGTTCAGTGTTCAGTATGTAAAACTTCCAGTGGGTCTACCCTAATTACACTTGTCTTAACAGGTTTTAGCTTAAAAAAAGTAGAATTATGGCAACTAAACTGCAGAATTTTAGTGATGATCTGTAGCTATTCCCTCCTGCTGTGGCTGGCTAGTTCTCACAGCCCAAAAACTAGTATTTTGTCCAAAACAGGAGGTGCCACAGTGTCTGGACCTCTTCTAAAAACAACAAAATTAGTGAGATCAGCCCGACCAGGCAGATAAGGGTGGGTTTTTTCCATTCCTTAAATTACAGACCTGCCTGCCCCACCAAGTGCTTCTGCTGTGACCCCACAACTCACAGAAGCTCCAGTGAGGATCTGTGCTGTTCAGCTTTGCTAGGAATAAGAGGGGATGCCAGCACCTTTTTGCTCCTTGTTTCATAATATTGCAATCTCTCACATTTAGTGTTTCATTATTTTCACATATGGAGCAGATTATGGAGCAGGTCCCGCATCTTCCCTCTCTTCAGGACACTCTGTAGGTCTACAGTTTATTATTGATCCATCTTTTGAGCAAATCTTGCTTTAGGTGCCACTTGCACCTGCACAGACGGTGGTTATTCCCTACGAATACTCCCTCAACTCATCTTCCTGCACATTCTCTCCTATCACACGGGTCTCAGCATAAGAACTGAGTTTTCTTAAGCCAGGGTTGAGCTCCCTCTGGGATGTGCATGACTTGCCTGCTCGGGCTTTGTGGGATCTCTCTCCATGGTGCTTTCTTTGTGACCACTAGACGAGCCAGTCTAGTCCTCCTCCCACCCAAAGGCRGACAAGCTTCTGGGGACAGCTATGGAAAAAGAAGAAATTCCCTGAATTTCCTCTTGGCTTTTTCAGATCGGCTGTGCGTGGACTTGCCTTGGCATGYATTGCTCTCCCCCCTGCATTTTTATATGTTTATAGCCACCTTCCCTTCTTTTTGAAGCAGAAAGGTCTGTTTCTCTGCACTCCTACTAGAGAGAGGAGCCGGAGTCAGAGGTATTATGGAAACGCTGACAACCTGTTCAGTCCTACACATGAGGCAGCAAAAAAAAGGCAATCCCTGCCCTCAAGAGTTTTCAGATATTGCTTAATGTCTGCTTTGGATCCTGCCCCAAACTTTCCTGTGCTGGCTGTTTTTTCAGGTGCTTTCCTCATCTCCTGGAAGCTCTGGATGTTGAAGCTCTCCGTTCTCCAAAACTACTTCTTGATACYTGTTGCTTTGCTTGTGTGATGCTTTCAGCCACGGCTGTGGGAATCCATAGCTTGAAAGCACAGGCACATCTGCAAGAATAGAGATATGCCAGGTTGGCATAGCTCAGCTTCCCCTCCGTTCTGGTTTCCATCTCGCCGAAGAAGTCCTGCCAAGGCTGCCAAACCTGCTCGAGGGAGTAGCTGAACACACCTCTGCTCGTGCTGAGCTCTTTGGGGCTCCGCTCGATCCCTGTCAGTGCCTGAGCCAGCAGGGTTGGCCGTCCTGGTGGAACCAAGAAAGCCCCACGATGAGCACATAGGCAACGTGCCGCTCACCGGCCACTTAAATGCTCTTAAATGCCATCCCTTGCTATCACGAAACAGCCCCTGCTTTTCATCACGCCTCCACCAGAGGCGCATGGAGCTAAAAATGGAACTGCAATAGCACAAACTTGTTCATCCTCTGTATGACCAAGCATTCATTTCCACTCACTCACCTTTCTGAGTAAGACGTGTGTAGCTGCTCCTGTCATCCCTCGGGTTTAAGAATTGGGTTTTTTCCTTCTCTTCCTGTTCTGTTCTCCCTGCTGCTTTAGTCACGGGCCTTCATGGATGCAGCTCCACCATGCCAACCTGTCTACCCCCAGCCATTCCAAAGATCCACAGCCTGCYGAAATCCCGTTTCCCAGCCTGTTCTTATCTTCCTCCAGCTCGGACGTCGTATCCGTAGGAATGCTGATGCAATTAGGCCTGGGAGAGGTGGGAAAACACGGGTAAAACTCCGTGTTGTGTGTTCATGCCACCTTGGAGTCACAGACGCCATATCTCCATCACAGGCAAAGCCCAAGTCTTCCCAAGCAGTTGGCCAAACTCCTGGAAAAAGTGGGAAGGAGCCTCTGGGCTCCTGGGAACAGGCATGTGGATCCCTGGCGATCCCTGCTCCTCTTGGCACCCGGAAGGGAGGCTGCAATGGACTCGGTAGCGATTCTCCAGGTTAATCGGTCGGCGCGTTGGGGCTCCTCACGCGGGAAGCGGAGCAGATGTCAACAAGCGTTGCCTTCAGGATGGCACCTGGGGAGGAGGAGAATGAGGGAACTGCGAACCAACCGCGCAAGGGCAAAACAGTCATTAGCAAATCGGTAACTGAAACCAGCTATTATATAAGTGGCTGTGTCAGCTTCGCGCGTCTCCCAATGGAGGTTTTCGGAATAAATTCAGGTGAAATGCTGTATTCCGCACACACAACCTCGGAATGATTCCTTCACTCTCTGGAGAAGAGGCTTATCTGAGCCCAGCTGTTAAGTCATAGAGATGATACCACGGTGGGAAACGCCTACAAGCAGCTCTGAACTGTCACTCAAACCTTTTTAAAAGCATTAATAATAATCTGAATTCAGACAAACCCCCGGGGAAGCACTCTGGCTGGAGAGAAGGCCCATTTTTAAGAAAACAGATAGTTTTGTAAGCTTGCTCATTTTTTGAAGACAAAACAAAGCTAAAGGTGTATGTGAAATGATGCCAAAAGCTGCCAAATGGGCGGGTTATAGAGGTGACATTTTTGATTCATTCAGTCTGCAGAAGATGTGGGAACCAGGTGAAGGTTTGAGAGCTCTGGGTCTGTTTGATGCAATATTTGAAGACTGCTTTAAAAAAGTAGTTATCTTGGGCTGAAATACACAGGACAACTTAATTCAGTAAATATTAGTATATTAATTAGAGCAATAAAACCCATCATAATGACAAAGAATTATAAATAAATAAATAAATAAATAAATAAATAAATAAACAAACACCGGCACAACACCACACACATCTAAATTGCTTCCAGGCCAACCATTAAGCAAGAGCAAACTTGGCAACTCTTTATTAAAAACCCAAACCCAAACCCACTTACAGCGTTTCATCCATCAATGAAATGGGACCTCTTCCAGATGGGAGAGGAGGGAGATGTTTTAATGCAAATGACATTGCTCAATAGTCCAGGCCTGGAAGTGACACATCTCACATGCATTTGAAATTGGAGGGGAATTCAGAAAGGCAGGATACCATTACTTGAATTAAATCTGGCCAGGACATCAGTGTTCATGTTCTGGGCTCTTATAAAAAGATCTCTAGAAGGTTATTGGTGGAATTTCTTCCCAGCTGTTGTCTTGGGAAGGATACCTCTCAGTCTGAACGCCAGCTCTAGCTGTGGAAAATAGGAACGATTAGGGCTTTCTTACAAATATTATCCCGGACAAGTGATTTTGTTTCTTGGAGTTTTGGTTTCCATCTACACACATGTAGTTACAGTTCTTCTGCATTAAGATACCAATGTGGGAGATTTGCTCTACTCCTCTGCATTAAGCAGCAGATATTCTTCTGCCTTTAATAGGGTTCAGAATTCCAAATTTCATCTGTGAAATCCACCTCCCTCCCAAATACCTGGTGCGTAAACAAGTGTGGCATGCCTCCAAAATAAAGAAAAAAACAAAGTTATAAGGGAACATGGTTTAGCAATATTTATCAGTGCCTAAACACAATACAAAGGCAAAACTCAAACTAAGGTCTTTTAGTGACCCATGAATGATATAGAACACTCAAAGATGAAAAAAAAATAATGTCTTCCTCAGCATTATTGAGCTCCCTGTGCCCCATTTTGGGGCACACAGACAGGAGCCATGCTGATAAATGGTGTTGCCCTGCTGACCAAGAGGAGAAGATGGCTTTGTGGCTTCCTGGGCTAAATCACCTGTTACTCACGCGTTGAATTTTGCAAGGTGATTGCTCAGCTGCCACTTCTTCCTCAACAACATCCTAACTATCCATTCTTTCCTCCTTTGCAAAAGCTCAGGCCCCTGCCTGACTTATTTATACCAGAGCACTCAGATCAAAGTGGCCAGAGTTTCCTATTTTTGTGGGGCCCTGGAGTATTTTTCACCATTTGTTCTTTCCTTCTGCGCTCTATCCAAGTTCCTTATCCAAACTCTCCAACTCCACCCTCACTCACATGCTCTTAATAATCCCTACTCATACTTGGGCATAACACACCCAAACCTCCTCCTTCACTGATCGCTTGTGGCTTTTGCCTGCTCTGAATCCTGGATATATCTTCAGCTATGGAGCAACCTGACAGTCAGGGTTGACCCAGCACCTTCAGTTCCCCGAGGCCCCTGTTCCAGGATCAGGCGCAAGAGGCCGCATGACACTCTCGCCTTTACTCACTAGGCAACGATCTCCTTAATGCATCTCGTGCCTGTAGGCATCACCTCTTCATAGCTAGCAAATTCKGCTGGCAAATCCAAAATATTTGGGCCACAGGGCCAGTTACCATGACCTTTAGAGAGCAAACAAAAGGAAGAGATCCATGGTCTATGAGATAAGCAGAAGAGTGAGAGAAAACGATGGCTCTTGATGGCCATCGTCATCAATGTCATCTTGCTGAGGTGCACACACCAAATAAGAAATCAATTCCAACCTTTATGAAATAGTGTYTTTCTATACAAATGCATGGCTTATTCGCCAGCGTACTGACAATTATCTTAGTTATTTCTGTCCTGGAGTTAATGGCTTTCCAAGTTAATTTACGAATTGTCTCATTCAATACCATCATTAGCGTTTAGAGTAACACACCAGGCAGATGAATGGCATGTTAATGACCCAGACTTATGCACRAAATAATTTGGGCTTGAAGAACATTAAAGAGAAAGACAAAGGAGTAAGTATAAGACTCTGAATCTCTTCTTACAGTCTCCAGGTTTACATGGGTCTCACAACTCTAAGTTTTGATGACTTGATAGTAATTCCAAGGTAAAAATGAGAAGACAAAAGAGTGTGGCAAAGGGGAAAAAAATGTCCTCAAAAAATTGTAAAACTAGGTACGTATTATGTAAAACTAGGTACGTATTATACTGTAAGATATGTATTATAATGTAAGAGAAATCCTGTTACTGTGATTGAAGTTTGAGATAATTGTGTTAAATGTCAAGCATTTGAAATGAAACAACCATGGAATTACGATTTTCACTCCTTTCAGTAAACTGTAAATATTTTTGTTTGCTTAAATTTTCTCTCCATCGAGATTTCATATGGGCAACCTCCTTCTAAAAAGGATATTAATGAACAGAGTGCTTGAGATAGTTATTTTCTATGAGAAGATGATATCTTGTAATCCTCAGCTTGTAAAAACAAAGTTTATYGTGGATAGATGGTTCCAAATTTCATATTCATTGATAGGTGTTGACTTTATGCCCACTTTTCTGTATTTTTGCTTCCTGCTGTTGACTGATGTTCACTTAGCTAAGCCCAGGGTGCCAAGTGAAGGTACAGCCTTAGCCTGGACCGCAGTCTATGCAATATGGCCAAGAGAAAATAAAAACGGGGCTTAAATTGCGGGCTACCACTGCCCTCTATTGAACACAGAAGTGCACAAACACATGGGACTCATCCCAAAAGGAAGAGTCATTCCAGGAAATATTCACATGGGTGACACCTGGATCCTTTGGATCTTTAAGAAAAAAAAAARAAAATCTGATTTTTCTCCAAATCCTAAGGTCGTGACTATGGGTCCAGTGTGTTTTCCTTGAGCAACCTGTGGCTTGGCAGTTTTATTTCTCGTTTTGCCTGTGGAATTTGTCTGCCTTTCAGTCCTGTCCTGGGCAGGAACCACACATTAATGATTAATACACGTAACAAGGGGCATTGCTGAACACAGATAAATCACTCAGGGCCTTTTCCTCTTTTTCTCCTTTTTAATTAACTCTCAGAGAACCAAAACTCGGTCAAAACTCGGTTTCCCTCTCAGAAACAGCGTCGGAGCCTCTAGTCTCAAACGCTCAGAAAGGTCGCAACTATCCCAAAAAAATGCCGCCAAGTGAGATGCGCAAGGCGTATTTATTCACRGCGCGAAGCGAAACACGTTATTTTTGGTACTTTTGATAATTTTGTGTGTTTTAGCCTCATTTCTGCGACTCTGTCGCCCCGCCTCCCACGGCCGGAAGTGACGCGCTCCGCGCCCCGGCAGCGGGGCGGCTCCGTGGCGGAAGGGGCGGCCGGCGCCGCCATCTTGGCCTGGAGCCGCGGTCGCGCCCGCCGCAGCGGGTTGAGCAGCGGGGGTCGCGGCCCGGCCCGGCCCGCTCGGCCCTGCGGCGCTCGCGGCTTCTCTCGTGCGGCCTCCGGCTCGGGGCGCGCGGCGCCGGCGGCGGGGCGCGGCACAGCGGGGAGAGGTGAGCGGGGCCTGGGCCGCGCGCCTCTTGGCGATACGGCTCTGCGGGTTGCCCACCCCCGGTAACTGTGATAATACCGTAGGAAACATAAGACCATTTTTGTGGTCTGTACCGAGGGGCTTCCGGACAAACTGCTGAAAATTTTACCTTTATTGTCATTTTAATGAAGTCGAGGCTGGAAGGAGTCCCTTCACAGTCTCTTCCTGAAACCCGAAAATGAGGAAATGTGACTTTCCTCAGCAAAAATACAACGTATTTCTAAAGACGTTTAACAATGCTTTTGGCAGCGGGTTTAACTTGAATATTTGGCAATATATAATTAACTGTGGTGGTCTAAATGCAACTTTTCAGAAGATCCTGCTTGGCTGATTGAACTGAAAGACTAAAATAAAAACTAGCCCATTCAAAAGCATTTAACATGATCTTAATGTCAGGTGTTGCTCAAGGATAGTTGTGGCTCTTTATGGGAGCTGTTGGTAAGGATTTCCTTTCCGTTTTCTCTTTTGGGAGGGAATCGCTGAATGGAAGCTTCAGTTCCCTGCTAGATTTCTCAAAGGGAAAGTGAGTTAAATGAAGGTAATTAATTGGTGTGTCTTTTGTAGCTGCATTATAAGGCCTCATGCTTTGTCCTGTGAGCATCCTGGAACCTCCTTTATTCACTCTCATTTAGGAAGAACTTTTTCTTTATCTGGAATAGAAAAATGTGCTTGGAATATGTCTTGTAGGTTTAACTGACTCCTAAGCAAGCAGCAGATTTAACTTAAAAGTTGATTAAAACAGCACCAGGTCTTCAAAATGAGAAAGCAGTAATGTTTGTGTTTATATTTTAAAAATGTAGAGTATATGGAGTAGATTTTGCAGGATCTAGAGCTGAGTTCATTGAAGCATAACTGCATCTGTGGAGATTGTATAGAAGTTATATTTGCTTATATGTATATTTTGGAAAAACTAGATGAGCAACAGCAGTAATAAGAGAGCTCCCACGACAGCAACGCAGAGACTTAAACAAGACTACCTGCGAATTAAGAAAGATCCAGTGCCTTATATCTGTGCGGAACCCCTTCCATCCAATATCCTTGAATGGTAAGAATTAGAAGGAATTTGAAGGAATTGTTCACACAATTGTGGAGACARTTGTATGGGAATCTTGGTTTTGGGAGGTGGAGTATGGAACTACTTTGCTGAAGTGATATATATGTTTTTATTCTTTTCAAGGAAGTCGATGACTGATTGGGTGCTGGCTTTAATAACATTTAAATTTATTTCCTTCTTCGTTTTAGGCACTATGTTGTACGGGGACCTGAAATGACTCCATATGAAGGTAAAAACTAGCACATAGCAATAACCTGCTTGTACTTTATSATTTTCATATCTGAGAAACTGCATGGCTGTGTGGGCAAAAGTTAACTCCTGTGACAGTCAAAGATCATTTTAGATAACCCCAAGTCATTGAATTTTATTCCTTATTGTTGGGTGTGGTTTTTTGTTTRTTTTCTGTGTGACATTTATAACTTAACGTATAAATGGTGCCAGCGAACGGTGACCTATAGCCTCTTCGTGAATTTTCAGAAGCAGAGGAAAGGAAAAGCCACGTTAAGTTGCTGTAGCTCCATATTCCACAAGCTCCCATAAGATTCTTTTTGAATCAGACTCTTTGTAGAGCTTCATTTCCATTTAGCRGCGTGTGTGGAAATGTTGCTATAAGACTGAAGTATTTGACAGACTTTCCTTAACTGTATTATGAACTTCATAACCYGAAATATTATTTGCAATATGCAGATGGTAGAGCAGTGCCTGCAAAGTAAACTTTTGGAGCAGGTGTGGATCATCATTCCGGTATTTAGAGGCACAAGATTTTGAGTTTGAGCCGTTTATTGTGAGGGGGAGAGGGAAAGATGTTTTATTTGTCCCAGTTTATTTGTAGCTTAGGACTTCATCTTCTTGCAAAATAAGTAATATATCTCTTTATGTAATGCAGGTGGCTATTATCATGGGAAACTAATATTCCCCAGAGAATTTCCTTTTAAACCTCCTAGTATTTATATGATTACTCCTAATGGAAGGTTTAAATGTAATACAAGGTAAGGATTTTCTTCTAACACTTAAGCAATTAACACTATTTTAGCAATATGCTATCTGTAATCCTTTCAATAGCAACAATTAAAAACATATTGCTTGTCTCTCTTTTTCTTTTTTTTTTTTTTTTTAAGGTTGTGTCTTTCAATCACTGATTTTCACCCTGATACATGGAATCCAGCTTGGTCAGTTTCAACTATCTTGACAGGCCTTCTCAGTTTTATGGTGGAAAAGGGCCCCACATTGGGCAGCATAGAGACCTCTGAGTTCACAGTAAGCTCCAGATTATTCTTAGTAAATCATATTGTTTAGAACCTCCTTTTTTTTCCCCTCCCCTCAAAGAGTCTGCTGAGCAGGCCCCCCAGTTTAGAACACAGAACTTGGAATAGTGGGAAACCCAAGTTGGTTTTAGGAATGTCAGTATTCACAGATATAAAATTATCCTGAAGATGAGAAATTAGTTGGCTAGCAGTTTGCACCATTCCTGTGGGAAGTAACCAGAATTAGAGCATCTTAATTTCATTTCCATGCTACTGCTGATGATTCTTTTTGCCTTCACAGAAAAGACAGCTTGCTGCACAAAGTTTAGCATTTAATTTAAAGGATAAAGTCTTCTGTGAACTCTTCCCTGAAGTGGTGGAGGTAAGAGAATTCATCTACGAATAATTCTCTTTACGCCTTTTTTCAGCTTGTCTATAATGATCTATAAACTAACTGGTTAGGGTRTTCTTCTGAGACATTTTTGTTTCTGGCCAAACAGAAGAGCGAGCCCTTTTGGGGTGGAGTTGTGTGTGCTTGATTTATATATTATCTTTTGCAGTATTATTCACAAARTACTTTTGTCCCTTTTTCCCTTTTGGGAAAGCCTTCTGGGAGAAGCTTTCACCCCCGAAAGAACTTCCCCATATCCACCTCCAAATATTCCCCTTTTGTTTCTCTTTTTCTTTTCCTTTCTCTCCGTAGGAAATCAAACAGAAACAGAAAGCACAAGAGGACCTCAGTAACCGACCTCCATCCCTCCCTTTGCCAGATGTGGTGCCYGATGGGGAAGCACACTATGGGCAAAACGGGATCCCCCTTCTCAATGGGCACGTGCAGCTGGCGCCCGCTAATCACCCAGGTCTCCAACAAGCCAACCGGAACCATGGACTTTTAGGAGGAGCTTTGGCGAACTTGTTTGTTATAGTTGGTTTTGCAGCCTTTGCCTACACAGTCAAGTATGTACTGAGAAGCATAGCACAAGAATGAGGAGCATACCAGAAATCCAAGACCAAAATAGTGGTAGTTGCAGAATGAGTGGGACTCTTTGGGCATCTGACTTTGGTACTGGGGTAAATATTTGTACTGCCGAGTTGCAGGCAAAGCATTGGTCGACTCGTGGGTTATGTTTGTAAGCTCAGTTAGTCAGAAAACTAAAAGATGTTCTGCTCACAGATCCTCTTGTCCTCACTACTGTTCAGTAGTGGCTCATAAGCAAGTCAAAGCATTGCTGATGTGAAGCTAGCATTACTAATGCTTTGATTTTTATAGCATTTCTCCATTCTGTTATTTGAAATTTGATGATCTGAAGCAAATAAGGCTTTTTACTAGATTGAACAATTTTTAAAATTTCACACTTGATGCATATCATATTTTAGGTTCATTAGCAAAAAGTCTGTACAAGGTTGAAAGGAGTTAGGTGGAGACAGCAAGGGGTCTGGTTAATGTGAACAATGATACTACAGAAGATAGCTGGTTTCTTTTATAAAATAGAATGACCATCATTGCATATCTAGTCAGTAGTGATCAGATCAGTGGGAAAGTAACACCATGTGTGTTAAATGTGTTGTCTAAATTGTCACAATATAACTTAAGAAGGTCTTATTTGGGCTACAAGAAGTGCAGTTGTTGGCCTTGAGAAAACTACTAGCCAGAAAAAAAATTATTTAAATCAGTCTTAGTGTGGGGGTACTGATGTTCAATATTGGTTTGAATTTATTCACTTAGTTACAGATTTCCGTTTTGGGAAATGTTATATTTTAAAACTGTAATACTTTATTTTGATCACAAGGTGCCACTGTTTCAAAATAATAAATCTGCACAGAACAATGAAAAATTAATTATGTTTTCAGAAAAAGCTTCTCTGGATTTCTTGGCCTTTGGTGAATGAAAATGCAGTAGCCCTTGTGGAGCTAAAAAGACAAATGAGGCTGGATACTGGACCAGATTCTTCAAAGTCAGCTGAATTCATCTGAAGTGCCACTAGCTCAAGTGAACTGCGTAGAATTAGTATTGCTTACGTTGCTTGAAAATTGGGGTGGAAAAAGAAAAAAAGAGAACCTAAACCTTTCTATTTTACCTGAGTTCCCCGAAGCTTTGGGCTTTAAATTAAATTCCCCTCTGTTCCCTTTGAGATGATGGATGACTGAAATATCAGTGTTTGCTCCTGAGGTTACATGATTGTGGATAAACACTAAAACTCCTAGTGTAGTTTTTCCGAAGTTACTTTTCAATCCAATTTCCTTCCCTTTCCCTTCCCTGCCCTCCCCATTAGTTTTATCCAAATGCTTTGACTTATCAGAGGCAAACTTACTGTGCCTTTCATAATTAACAGTGATGTCTAGTCATCTGGGGGAGAAAGCACTCACTGTTAATGATCTAACAAACTGTAAAAGGTGATGGCAGGGTAAAAAGCTCTGCATTTAACTGCATATTCTTTGTTAAATGTTGTGAAGAGCCCAATAAATATTACCTCATGTATTTAAGACATGTTTTAAGCTGTTTTATTTTTCCTTTTCAGATCTATTTGCTCGCTCTGCTGCTTCTTGGTATCTTGATTTGTACAAGAGGGGTTGGGGATGAGCAAAATAACCCATAAACCATAGTAAACAGCATGAATAAATAAATATTGCTACTGGTTCTCTGCAATAGGCAGTAATTATCAGAAGTAGAGGAAGAGCTCCATGCTAAAGAAATCTTTAAGCAGATCTTACTGAGGTAAGGAAGGGAAGGAAGAAATAGGTAGAACATGAAAAAAAGCTGGATTTTAAAAATGTATTTATAAATTTGGACTTTTGGGTTTTTTGGGCTTTTGATCTGATCTTATTTATAACTGCTGTTAAACTCACTTCTCGTATGTGCTAACCAGCTCTCCTGAGAGAAGCATCAGTTGCATTTGTGCCCCAAAACGTTTATGTCCTGTCAGTCGGGGGGTGTCTGGGAGGGAGTGGGGATTGTCACGTCTGTCCTGCTGTGATAGAATTTTCAAGGAGGTTTGTAAACCAGCTGTCTATATGTGCGTGTCTATATATTTGTTCCTCTTCAAAGCATGGGCTGTTAATGCCTTAYAGAGTGTAATGTTATTCAAACATGTCTGTGTTCTCACAGTGCCTTTTTCTATCATTGCCTACAGACAAAAGTTTATAACTGCATGTCTATTTTTGTCTTCTCATGGAAGTTTTTATCCACATAAAAGCAGACRAACGCAAGGAGACCTTGGGCTTGGAGTGTTCACGTCTCTTGTGAAGCCTTCTCCCTAACCAAGGTAGAAGAAATARTAAAATCAGGGGATGGCAGTTTCTTAGAAAAGGCATTTTTGGTATATGCCGAGAAGCTGGCCTTAAGCTACCCCTAAGCAACAGAAACTTAACGCTAATTAAATCCTGGGCATGCTGCTTTTTTTAAAAAAATACGCTTTTTAATTTTGAGGATTTTCTTTTGATTTTTATTACTGTTTTTTTTTTTCCAAGGAATTTGCCTTCCAGTTTGTCTTGAGGACCCTGGATTCAGAGACTTAACTGTCAGTTCAGGTGCAGTTTGAGAGACATTAGGAGGGACAGATGACAGAACCCCCTTGCACACTCGTTCAAGACTTTCATGCATGTCTTCCTTCTTGCCTTTGGTAACAGAACATTTATTTACTTCTGTGAAACTTGTACTGATTTTTGGAGAGAAAAGAGAAAAGGCTTTATTAACAGTATCTGACCTTTTTGTTACCGAAGTCAGCAAATGAAGCAAACCATTCTTTGCCACCCAAAAATGTACTTTTTTCCTGAAACATTATTTAATATATTTAAAATGAAAAGCTTTCTTTTCATGTACGATATTGGAACAAATGTCAGACCCTTCACTTTCATTCTACAATTTCACAGATTTAGGTACGATTGACACACACAGAAGATAGGAGAGTTTCATGACTCGAATCAGGAGACTTCTCAGGGGTAGTCTTTAAAAAATCTCCTGATTTTTAAAAACCTTGGGTTTGTGTGGTCATAACTTTTTTTTTTTCACATCCAACATTTCAAGGTCAGAAAAGTTACATCCSTTAGCATGTACCGAGGAGTAGAAATGGCTGCGTTGTAAAGTTATTTGTTCATAATAAACATGAAAATTTACACTTTCTGTGGGGCTGCTTTTGGGGAAAGGGATTTCTGGGAGCCAGTCAGGGAAGAGCCATGCTGCAGTATCCAGGATGCAAGTCTAGTCTTGCATTTTGCATATGATGATGGACATTTTGCTCCTATGCCAGGCGAATGCTCTAGGAAGAAATTCCTTTTGTGTTTGTGCCTGTGCTTGGATTTGAAATGGATCAGGTGAGAGTTCTCATRGTTAAGTATCTAACCAAATATTCTGAGGAACTTACCACGCACAGAGTCAAAGAAATGAACTACTTCTAGCCCATGCTGGGGATTCTCTGACTGACCTTAGATGTATAAGCAGTCAGGAAATGACCAGCTCTGTGTTTTTCACAAAAGGTTGGTGCTTCAAAAGTGTGGTTTTTTTTTGTTTGCTTTTTTTTTTTTTTTTAGTAAGAAGGAGTAAATTTCTGCTGATTATTTGCTGTTAATGTCTTATTATATAACCCAGTAACAAATAAATGGTCAAGTGTGCAAGGTGATACTCTCCTCTTTTTGCTGCCAAGCTAAGGCTTAACCTTAAGAAAAATCCTGTTTTTTCTCCCCCTTATGCAGGTTATTCTGTTCTCTCTTGCTTTTATGAAAATTAAGGGTTTTATCTCGTGTTATTAGGAAGTCATTTCCGGATTTTCTTTCAAAATGGGTGGCTATTCAGGTACCTGGCATGAAGTTTTTGCTATTTTAAGCCTTGTCTAGCCCAGAGCGTGCTGCGAGAGGTGACTCGTGTTGCTGTGATTTAGCCACAAGATGGCATGAGGAGACCGCCGAGGCCTCGTGCGGGAGTCTGAAACGGCAGGACGCGGGTCTGCTTGGGAAAATTTAATTCCCAAGTTTATTTGAAACATGGGATGCGGTCGCTTGTGCTGGAGTGCTCTGTGGAAGCAGGTGACAGGGTCTAGAGCTCTTGGGTTTTCTTCCCTGGCCTCTTCTCGTCTGCCCTTGTGCTTAGATTTGCTCTTCCACCAGCTCCGTTTAGGCCAGTCCCTGGTTTGTAGCCAGTTAATGTTGGGAATCCTTGGATTTGAAGCCAAGGGGTGTACGGCAGGAGTGCTGAGTGCTGCTTGAGGTTCCAGTTGCTTCGCGATCCTTGACTTTCCTTGCTATTAAACACATCAGCCTCTCTATTTTTTTGCCAAGGGGTATTGAAACGCTCCTCCAGGTGTTTACGAATTGACAAAATCCAAGTGCTTTGCAACTGGGTGGCGAGAACAGCAGCAGCAACACGGGGAAGTTGCTGCAGCTGCCACAAAGGCTGGTTTGGATGGTAGGAGAGAGGCACCAGCCGTGCCAACACGGCGCCCAGCCGCTCAACGTGCAGCAGGCACCGGAGCTGCAGCAAAGTGGATCCCATTGGACCCCCGAGGGACTTTGCCTTGTGCTTGCAGACCCAGGTTGGCTTCATTTCCCCCCGATCCCAGGCTCGGCATCCATCCCTTTGCCTGAGAAAGGGGATGTTGCAACTAGACAGGGCAGCCTGCAGCAGCAGACCAAGAAAGCAGTCGCCCCGTTCCAGCTCTCAATGTCATTCCTTGCCATGGTGTGTGGATCTGTCAGGCTGTTTAGCTGCAATATGACAGATTGTCCTATTAATGTGTCATCAAGTGCACTTTTACAAACTCATGGCTTGTCTACGACTAACCTGAAAAAGAGGCTTAAGTATGAGAAGGCGCCAAAGAAAGTTAAATATTATTAACAAATAAAGTCTGCCACGTAGTTTTGATGGAATGTGAGCTAGCTGGGGGAGGGGGCTGTGCTGTTAACTATTTAACTTCTCTCGAAGGTCGCTTCATTCATGATGTTATTTGAGTATTTATTCTGCTGTTGACTTAAGAGTTCTTGATTTTGTGCTTGGGTTATTTCTGGCTCACTTTCCCTGGGACAGAGATGCAGAGATAGTAGAGAGGGCTTTCCTGTTCCATCCTGCCTGCCTGTAAGGGCCACCGTGGCAGTGGGCTGGCGTTATTGCTTGTGGTACAGCAGGCATGGGAAGGGAATCACTGAAAGAGAGCAAGGCTGCTGCTTGCTGAGTGAATTGGGGGCTTCAAATTATGTCATCTTCAATTTTCCTTCTTCTTGAAGAGKGTCCTGGTACAATTGCAATTATTTTGTGCCTCCTTTTCTCCATTTGTAGAAAAAAAGTCAGAATATTTGTTCTAGGCTCTGGGGAACTGGCAAAGATAAGCTGTTTCTGTCCAAGGACTTTAAAATCTTTATGAAACCTTTGTGGGAGAAAGTTRTGTGCTTTCTGTTGTGTTTTAATAACCACTTGTCCCTTTCTCCTCCTTCCTCCTCTCCCCAAAATACCGCCAAAACTCACAGAGCTCCCACCGAGTCTCTGATGAGAACTAGGGGAAAACCTTGTGCGGAGCAGAGGTAACTAGAATATAAAAGATGGGTGCTGATGTACAGCCGTGTGTTATGATGCTGGGTGAGTATTCCAAGGCACATATTTCTAGCACTACCCTGTACGGTTTTGCAAACGTCCCAGAAACAACAACAACAAAAAAAGATGCTTTTTCCGAGATAATGAAGGGGAGGAACGGGGTAGGACTGAGGGGAGGGAACGGGCACTGATTTAAATCTGCCTGGCACACTGGCCAGCTCCACTTATCAGGGAGTCTAATAGGAATGTGAAGAGAATAGGCTTGACAGCTCATTAGAATGTGATCCCTCCTCCTCCTCCTCCTCTCCCCCTCCTTCAAGTTGATGGAAACTCTTTCAGGAAAGAAGTACTTATTTGCTGAGGTGAAGTGAAGGCTGAGGAGGGTTTTGCCCGTGTGCCGCTGGGGAGAGGAGCAAGGAGAAGAAGCTGAGGTGACCCACAGTTGGAGGAACCTCATATCTCCCTTGATGTAAAGGGCAAGRAAGATGGAAAAACTCCCAGGACTCGTCATCCTGACAGCTGTTTGCAGCACAGGGATTTACGGCTCATCATCCCATTAAAGAGAAAGGGAAGATAAAGGCAGCCAAAGAGCGAGAACAACTAGACTTGGGAAAACTTGATCTGCTCCTGATGGACTTAGGTACATCCTGGGGTTCTTTGCTTGCCTGCTTTTGCTTTTATCCTATGTAAGAAAGCAATTCACTTCTCAGAAGACTCAGCTCRTGACTAAATTCTCGTGTCTTCAGTCCCCAGCATCCTGGAAGGAGAAGATGGGAGCTTGTTGCTGAGGAAGGGGAGGTATCTTTGAAACGAGGGTGGATGGAGCCTCTTCTACCCTGCTCTGATCTGGATGCAAAGCACTACTATGCAGAAGGTTAAATCTTTTGTTGAAGAGGAATAACCTAAAAAAAACCCCAACCCTCATGGTTTTGTGTTGTCAACTGTTGCCCYGAGCCTTTTGGCTTCTCTTGGTTTCATCGTTGTGAGCATTTTAATCCAATCTGAAGACTTACCRGGCAAGGTGCGTGTCTGCAGGGCCACGTTGAGGTAGGGACCTCTTGTACGGATGTAAACTGCAAAGGTCGGAGTGGAGCTGCCGTTTCTTCAAGTAAAAAACAAGCTTTTTAAACAAATTTAGACCTTTTCAATGTGTCCTGCTGGATTTTTCCCAGCAACCAACATATTTGCACCTGCTGCTCATTTGACGTTGCGTGCCCCGGTGGATCATCATTGGTAGCTTTAACCTTATATATATTTTTTAATTATTCTTTTAGAGAGAATCCTGTGTTTACTCCTTCTGTTGCTGGTGGAGGTTTTTGCACTTGGAGAATCCCCGTCCTGACTCGGCTCCTCCCTTTGCAAAATGAAGGGCTGCATCTGGGTATTGGTGGCAAYGTTACTGTGCCAGCAGCTTTGCCTCCTCCGAGTGATGGCAGCAAAGAGAGAGAGGAAGACGAAGAAAGAACGTAACCAGTACACAGAGCCTTTCAATATTACTCTGTCAAACAGTGAAGAACTGCATGGGCATCCYAAGGTAGGTGGCTATGTGTTGTCAGTGCTTGGTGGACCTCATTTCTGAGTTTGATGTAATGCCGGGGCTTTGATTTTCATTGATTTAAGCAGTCTTGCCAAATTCTTTTTTATTTTTAAAGAATTTTCTCTCGCTTTGACATGAGTAGTTTTTTTTGGCTTATTTAAGAAATGACTGCAATGCTGCAATTTATGGTGGGAGTCTGTTTTGGAACATGCATGAAGTTCCCGTCCCATTGTAGCTTAGTAAGACACAATTTATCTAACAACTGAGTATTAGTGAATCTCTTGCATGCAAATCCGGGGACCTTTGAAACGTCGTGGCTCATGCAAACCACATTATAGACACCTGAGTATGTCTGAGCTTTCTCTGTGCTGCACCTTCCACCACTGAAGTGGCCGTGATTGAAATAAACTTAATTTAGGCAAACGATCTGCTTAAGGAGACACCAAGTGCCAGTGGCTCTTGAAGGAAAGGAGCTAGGATGGGGCTAATTGTGCATAAGTAGCAGTGTAAGATTGTGTGCATGGTGCTTTAAGMTGGGCTCTGATTAATCTGTGCTTTAATCTGTGCTCTGATTCTGCAGAACCCTCCCAAGTAAGGGAGAGAATCACCCGTCTGAAGGCTACCAAAAACTGAGCAGARTCATCTTAAGATGAAAATTCACCTAGAATGCTTGGAAATAGGAGAGAGGCTAGGGAATTAAAAGTAAATCCTGGGATTAGGAGCAGGATGAAATGAAAGGGAGAAAGGAGGAAGTCTTCCCTAACGCACATCCCCCTTTTCTGTCTCTCCGACTTGCATGGAAATGTCCCTTGTATCAAACGGAGATGACCTCTAAAAGACGACTTTGATCACAAGCATTGGGGCCGGCAGTCACTATAGCAATGCAGGAACAAACCTGTCAGAAATTGGGGCATGGCGGAAGGGGCGAGTTCAAACAATTGGGCTGACATTCGCGCTACCCCATTCCGAGCCATTGTGGGAGTAATTGGTTAAGGTTGGGCAAGTCTGGGAAACAGTATTCTGCATTAAGGGGCTGGCTGCTGCACTTAAAATGATCATTAGGGAACTGTAAGCAGCACTTCTTTGACTAATTTTGTATTTATTGCAGAGCTCTGTCAGGATAGGTTTTATGCCTGTTAAATTCTTAAGGTACTYGGATTAAATTGTTTTTTTCTCTGCTTCATTCTCCTTTTTTGCACAAGGGACTAGATCTGTATCTGGTGTAACTAAGTTGCAGTCTGTTCTGGAATTAATGTGGTCAGCTGGAAAATATATTGTAGAATAAGAAGGATATATTCTGATTGCAAAAGCAAGGCAGAAATGGGTCCTGATTTATTCGGATATAGTCATATGCACATGATTCCTAGAAGATACTCATTTGGAGGTTTGTGGGCGTCAGTCAAAACCAATATTGTTTGAAAGCAGCAGCTTCTGCATTGAACTACTTTTGCTTTAAARCTTCCATGGTGAAGGTTTGGCTGGTGTTAGAGCTGGAGAGCTCAGTAAAGATGAGTTCTATAAAATAAGGATGGGCCCAAGCCAGATCTTTGATGTRAATGCCCATGAACTCGGCTTGATTTCCACTTCCAAATTTTGCAGTGTGAGCTATTCTCCTTGGAATCTCCCTAAGGTTGAAGTCCACACTCCAGTTGAGCATTGCTTCCAAATGCCATGGATGACTATATTATATTTGATATTTATATTGCACCTGCTCCAGCTAAGGGTTTGTTTTACCTATTCTATAAAGGCGGCGCTTATGAATTCTCTAGTGTCTGCTAATAAACCTGCACTAAAAGGAGTGTGATTATTGCAAAGTTGCTTATGTTTCAGGCAGCATTTTCAAAGGTTTCATTCCCCTCTGCAGCACAGGAGCAGATGCTGCCTCACACCCAGGCATTAGTCAGCATCAAGACCAAGTGGCCAGCTCCTCATTTTGGGTTTGGATGACTGGCTGTTGACAGCAAGCAGCTTAAAAGCCACAGTAAATAAAGCCTAGACGCCAAAGAGAAGTACTGGATGTGAAGGATGACTAGACGAAAATCAGTGGTTTGAAAAATTGCCACTGAATTCCTATCTTATGGTAAGCAGTAACTGATACCCCTAAAGAGACAACTGGCCTCGTTAGGCAGTTATGGAGAGGGAGAACGTCAACAGCAGCGCAGAGAAGTGCATAACTTCTCCAGACTGTTTTGAATACAATATTGGACTCACCTGCTGGTTGCCTCGGGAGGAAGTTATGTGATAGTGGAGCTGTCTAAAGCAACCCATGGAGCTGAGGTAGGGGTGAAGGCACCGCTTTCCCGCAAGGCTCATTGCTTCGAGTCATGAAGATACTTCTATGAGGAGTTTTGTTTGGTGAAAAGATGCCCTAAACAGACATTGGAAGCAATGGCAGTGCCCTATTTCATTTCTCCACAGCATACAATAAAAAATAGATATTCGGGGGCCTTGAACACTAAAAATTAAGGCTGTTTATATCTTGGAAGACTCAACTGGTAGGTTTATCAAAGCAGAGGAACAGGGAGCGGAATATTAGTTGAGAGCATTGAAGCAGGCAGCTCTAGTGCATCTAGAATGTCATCCCGGGCTCAATAACATCTGCCTTTTCTGCACACCCTGCTTGCTCATACAACCAGCTCCATCTGTTTCACCATAAATCCAGCATGGATGTGATCACTGAAGGGCTTTTGTGTTTAAGTGGAGCCGAGACAGCTTYTTGAGATACCTGTTTAGAGAAGAATAATTTTGCAATTGGAAAACACAGCAGGAATTTGCATGGGAATTCCAGTTGGGATCTGGCTAAGATACCAAACCTAACACTTCTGCTCTGGGGAAAATTCCCAAGAGATCCGTAAAAACCACAAGTGGTCAGGACCTTGGTTTTACATCTCATTAACAATCAAGAGTGTGCATAACCGTGAGTTATTAGCAGCTGACACTGAATTTTCGTGCTAAAGAAAAAAAAAAGCAATCTGTCACTTTTTAACCAGTTCCAAATAAAATACACTACTGAAGTAAATCATTTGCTCCTAATTTCATAATGGAGTTGGCAGTATTTTGCTGGTGTAAATCAGGCATAACGGCACGGAAATCTGTGGATTAAGATAATTCAAATGCTGGGTATGTCCAATTTTTGTCTGGCAATTGCTTAATTATTAGGCAGAAAATTCTTAACATTCATGACTGAAGGACCAAATACCTTGATCCATTACAATACATCTATCAATACATTGATAAATCTTCAAGCAAATTTGCAAGGGCGGAGAATATGGACCAGAATGGTTAGGTGGATGTTCTACCTAGATGGATAGATGTAAATGTTCTTGAAGATCAATGGCAAGATTCCTGTTGATCTTTTTCAAGGCCCTGGTTCAAGTGCTAAGGCCTAAGCTTGATTTCCCTGTATTTAACATGAGATTTTTTTTCCCTGCGTCCCTAAGGTTAGTTTTGCTCTGCAATCAGCAGCCCACGAGGGACAAGTCTCCAGCGCTGGGATCCCAGGGCCCTTCCCAGTCCTGAGCGATACCTGGGTTGGCTGCAAGTTCTCCCTGGCTGTTGGAGGCTGCCTCTGCCAAGAAAAATAGAGGCTCGCATGCTTATTGTTGGGATTGCTCATGCATGCCATAGTAATTAAATAATAATACCAGAAAGATGGAACATTCATTTCAACTGTCAATCATGCTTGTGCTGGAAAAATTGGGGAGTGCCATGGCTGACTTGCTCCGGATTTGTAATTTAAGGATGCCACTGGAGAGAGGGCTTTTTAAAATATTTTTTAAAGAACTTTAAGATAAAACTTCTTTTATCATTTATTTTTTCTGGGATGTGCCGTCTGTCCTTCTTTTTCCTTTTTGCCTCTGAGAAGACCGCTGCTCTCCAGCCTTTTTTCTGTTCCAGAAAGTCTGTAGACATCTGGATGCTGTGCCCAGGTGCTTTGAAGTGGAGCAAACTAGGAAAAAAAATGTTTTTTTTCTCATCAGAAACTTTTAAGCCCCCATTAAACTCAGACAAAAGATATTTTGCCTGTTATGAAATCATGTTGTGCCTCTTGTGCTGTTCTAAGGACAGCTGATGAATAGATGGAGAGTTTTGTACAAAGGACGATCTCAGCATGTCTTTGATTTCCTTATGATTTGCAAAAATCAGCAGTCAAGCAATCCCCGAGAAGACTGAGAAGCATTCTGGAGGTAACTGAACTTGCAGTACCYGGGGTTTTCTATAGAGCTTCATTTCCAATGCAATTTAGGAAAACTATTGCAGAAGTGCTGTGAGTAAAGCCAGGAAATAAATAATCATGTAACTAAATACCAGAACTCTTGGCTAAACACTCAACCTACAACCGATTGTAAGCACGATTATAAATACAAGAAAGTCTGTTCAAGGCTAATTCGTGTACAGAAATAATGAATGTCACGAATAGCTTGTCTTGCTCTCGGTTTAGAGGCGTGTGCTAAATCCGAGCATGGGGGGAGGARTGTGCCTGATAACCATAACTCTGTCACTAATTACTTAATTACAGTGGAATGCATGAACAATATGGCAAAATTACTCGGGGTAGCCTTGCTTTGGCTTGGAGCGCAGCCACCAGCCCCGCTGTTCGCAGCATCTACCTGGCGGGAAGGATGGGCGGACGGCCTGAATAGAGCAATTGGATAGGAATTGATCTGTCTGTGGGTTGCATCTGAGCAGGAGATCACCCCACACTGTGCGGTGGAGAAGGCAGAGTTGGCTTCGTAGAGTTGCTCGGATCTATGCTTGATAAGGAGCCATTCTCACGGGATATTTGTGAGTTCTGGGACACTGCTCATGCTCTGCTGCCTTGTAAACCCTGCATTGGTCCAAGGTGTTTAAAATAAATACTTATGATTGCTGGAATTTAGCATGGCATAGGCTAATGCGTTGTATTGCCCCTGGACACATGCCCCAGAGAGAGCTTTCCAGGCCCACAAACAGCAGCATTTCTTGTAACCACAGGCTGGAATCCAGCACCCTTCCAAGATCTACATTTCAAACAATTCATTTTGCAATGATTTTTCATAGCAGAACATGCAGACTGTSGTTTTTCCTCTTCTGTATCATCTTGGCCTGTTAATTCAAGCCCAAATTTGCAAATTTGGGCAGCGACGTATCTTGCAAGTACTGGGGCCACAGCTCTACCTGTGAATTATTTACTACATTATTCTGCCAAATGCCCGATGAAAGGCAATGTGTGCTCATAAGGAGTAATAGAAATGCTATCAAAGCTCACCGTGGTACCCTGAGAGGAGGTAAAGTATTTAAGAAGCTGCAATAGTTGCAGAAAACAGGAAGGAGCAGGTAGTTGAATTTGTGAACATGCATCTTTGCTCTCGTCAGGCACGGACTTTGTTTTTCATGYGACTCCTTTTGTCCTCTGTGTGTGCGTCTGTCATTCTGCAGTGTGTAATTGGAAATCTCTGAAGCATTTCAAGGGTTGTGTTGGTTTAAGCAGTAGGCGACAGTCTGGAGACTGAGCACTCTCTGAATTCATTTAGAGGCTGAGGAGGCACAATAACATCAGTCCTCTTGATGTTCTTCTTTCTCTTCAGATTTTGGAAGCTCCAGATCCTCGAATCACAGATCCACGACGTACCTGGATCTCCTTCGTCCACCGCCCGGAYGATGGCAACACCTCCAAAAGGAGATGTAAAGGGAAAGACAAGAAATTAGTAGGTTTTTCCTAGATTGACACCAGCTAACAAATGTGCACCATGGCTTCTCTTTCCACTGCTGTTACATAAGGTGTTTTTTGTGCTCCCAGCTTTTGCGTTACTACCCCCAGGAATCACATTTTTGTTTGTTTCATTTCTTAAAGTATTTCTGAGAAGTTTGGGATAATAAAGGTTTAATATACTTTGCAAGGTTGTATTTTCGCTTTCCACTCTCAGCACTGATTATTGTTCAAACCAGCTCTTTCCTGGACTGAGAGAAGCCTTTTTTTTTCTGCTGACTAGAWAGAAAATTAATGTTTTGCTTTCACCATAAAATGCAGGCATCTCAATGGATTGTAATCAAGATACGGACAAATCATCACAAGCTATATTTGTTTCAAATTAATGAGTTACTGGGCATCTGGTCAGTGATGACTGATCACATGTGCCATTCTTAATCAAACCCTTAGCCAATCTTGAATACGATTGAAAGGAATTCCTTTTATTTCCTGGTGAGCAGATAGACAGAAGTGCTTCTACGCAGARATAGAAAATTCCCAGCAAAAATATACATTGAAAGAGTATTGATAACTCTGCTGCAGGCTCATATTACCAGCTTAAACCCCTAATATGTTTTGTGGAAAACCTTTTCAAAGTGTTTTGAGCTAACTGCTTCCCTTTTAGGGGGAGTTCTCTTGTTTAATCGAACATTCACATAGCTAACGTGATCATGACATCAAGCAATATATATTATTAATGTAAAGTGTGGCTGGGTGGCTGTTCTCATTAGCTGACAGGCAGAATAGGAAGCAGCTTAAAAGGCCACTAATTAGTTTGCTAATACTGGAAGATTAAGAAGCAGCAAAYGTAGACTTGAGCCTGTTGTGCTTCACACTATTTGTAAGTCCCTGTAGTGCTCGTTAGTGTTTACTCAAGTGGCATTTACCCTCCCCACATAAGTATGTGAGTGGATTCCAAGTGYTGTTCCACTGATGGCTGGAGAGCTGGTTTTAGATTTACTGCGTTAGTCCTTTAGTTGGGTTGACAGCAGAGAAGGGCTGACCATGTGGCTGGCAGGTTTGTAGACTTGSCTCGTAGGTGACAGAATTTTCAGGGTGTCAGTGAAACTCCTTGGTTCTAATTCTGATGTTTTTCTTTGGCTGTTTCCTTAGCGTGGCCTCGTGGGGCCGCCGGGACCTCCTGGCCCCCAAGGGCCTCCAGGAGCACCTGGTGCTGAAGTCACCCGGGAAGTCCTTCTGCAGGAGTTCAAGGACATACTAAAAGGTAAAGATCCTAAGACCTTTCTGCCTCTGTGACCTATTTCTTTCAGTAAACCTCATTGCAAAAAGAGAAGATTTGTCTTGGCAAATGTTTACTCTAAAGCATTCCTTTAGCTGGCAATGAAATAATCCCTAGTGCTGCTGCGTCCAAATATAACCTCTACACAAGTTGTGTGTAGAGAAGAGGTCTAGTCAACAACTAGTGGCTTCATAGAGCAGGCTCTTCAATAAGTCTTTCTTCCTCTACTTTTTTCTCAGAAGCCATTGAGCGTCGGGCATCCCTGGCCATCTCAGCCCACCCCAGCCAGCTGCCTCCACTGCTGCTCTCCTTGGAGGAAGTTGCACCCCACAGGCGCATAGAGGAGGCGTTCCACTGCCAGCTCAAAGGACAAGTCGTTGTGGATAAGAAGACCTTGGTGGAACTTCAGAACTTCCAGTCGGTGAGTGGGAGTCGCAGCTCCCGTGCAGCTCCACAAGAGCCATCGTGCACRGACCAGCGGTAGTTCCCCTTGCTGCGGAGCTGCTAGGAGCTTCTGTAGGTCAAGGTGTTTCCTGAAAGGGAGATCTGGTCCCAAAAACTCATCTCAGGTCTGGATGCTGTGAATGCAGCACTAGGTTTTTGGAGTTGACAGAGGTGGAGTCTCATATTGCAGTAGCAGTCCTAATGCCCAGCTACAGGAGAAGTATTTAGCTTTGAGTCCACTCCTTCCTGAAAAACCTGAGAGAGAGACTCTTTTTTCTCTTGTGGCTTGAGTTGAGTATCATTACAGTTCTTATTAAAGTGCTAACAGGTCTGTGCAAGAGAGAGCTGTCTCGCAGGTCCAAACAATAGTCACTTCATTTCAGTGGGTAGGGGAGACAGACTTGTCCACATTAGTGTGAAGGATCTGTTCTGTTTTCAGAGCACACCCTAGTTTGTTCCAGAGAAGCTTTCAGAGGGAGCAGAACGTCAGAGGCAGACGAACGTCACTTGGCGTGGGTTGGGGAGCTTGCAAATGAGAGCTGCTCTTTTGTTAAATGGGCCGGTCTTGGTGATAACGTTCTAGATATAGTGTCTTACAGAGGACTAATAAATGCTGTCTACGCAAGGTCATTATGGTCCTGCTATAATGGTAAGCATACCATGAGAGGATGCTGTAGGTCATTGTAAGCATCGTTAAAAGCAGCCTCTTGGGTTTGATAAGTTATTRTAACTGCTAAGCACTTATGAACCAGTTGCAAACAGGACCTGAATTTGAAGTATAAACGTTAGGTGAAAGTATTAGCTAGATAAAAGTAGTTGCTTAGTTGTGGAGAAGATTTGCTTTGGACTYTGCAATCAAATAAGACTTTCTAACAGCACAAAGCCATTATGTACATGTGGTGAGGAGGTTTTGCAGTGTGTGAACAGGGAATATTGCTGTCTCTCAGCAGTGCGGGCCGACACTGTCCTAACAGGCACTGAGTCCTGTCTCTGCAGTCCTGTCCAGCAGATCATTCTCCACGGAGCAGCTTTGCTTTCGGAAAGACTTTCCCAGCCACACTAGCCTGGTTGGACAGCACTTTGATGCAAGATTGTACTTGAAGTGCGGGCCAGGCCAGGGAGATGTGCCGCCTCGTTAATTAGAAGGAAAAATGTGAATAAAGACATCTCGGTAGTCAGTGCGTAGGCTGATGCTTCCCATGCTTCGTTATCACGTGCCTTGCTTCCTTCTAATTGCTCCTGGCCCTGATGCTGGTGTGGGAGGGCTGGCAAGCCTCTGGATGCCAGCCCTTCAGCTTTGGGACAAGAAGGGTCTAGTTTTAGCTTGTGCTCTTGATAGACAGTGAATTTAACAGGCAGGGAGACAGTGGATACTCTTGCAAAAATGGAATCGTTGCCTTTAGAAAGTCCAAGGCAGAGAGAGAATTCCTCTGCCCTTGTCCTGTCAGTTTAAAAGTGTGGAGAACCAAGGGTTTGATGTTTTCTATTGAAGTGATAGGAAATAAATGATAGGAAAAGAATCCTATTCTGCTTCAGACTAGCTCCAAAACATTCTGAGATTAGTGTGCTAGAAAAAGGCCTAGCTCTCCTACACCCTGTTGTTTGGGTCTGCTGCCTCTGTCACATAGAAGAATCAGAAAAYTTGATGGTTTTCTCATTCTTCCTTGCTATTTCTTCTCCAACAAGAGAATTTCTTCCTTTTGGTCTCATGATTTCCTTGATACGTGGAATGAAACACTTGAAACTTCTCCATCACACCTTTATCTAATGCTCTCTCAKTCCTTAAGGTTCTGGCAATTGCTGCTTGCAAATGCTTTTAGAAATACACTTTGCAAAACTAGACTTGAAGTAACTGCATCCTCTGACAGGCTAAGGAAGAAGGTTTTACCTGAGGCCCAGGAATATCGCTGGAGCTAAGGTGGCCCATATGCAATTTCTGCAAGATGAACGAAATTCTGATATCTCCATGGCCTTGAGATCAGACTGAGCATCTCTGGCAGATGGGTTTGCAGAGAGTGTTTACTCAGCAGCTGGTTTGCTTGTTTACATGGTGTGAGCTCCTCAGATAGAAGTTCCTGCAGCAGCTGAGGCAGCTACGTGAGCACGCAGCTGTGAACCCCCAATGCAGTGGGCAGCTCTAACTGGCATGGAGTTGAAAGGAGTATTTTTGCTCAGAAAAAACCCTTCTTTCTCAGAGCTCTGCATTGTCTACCTTTGTGAGCAGAAGAATAACAAATCCACAAAGGGCATGAAGAAACAGGAATGCTTTATCGGTGATAATTTACTGGTGCCTAAATTGCCTTCCATGCTCAGCCAGTGGTTTTGGAATTAGGTTGCTGGTTCTGTTAATAGCTGTAACAAGAAAGGAATGGATTAACTACGTGGAATACTTTTGCACATACCAGGCTTGGATCTGCTCTCACAGTGATGTAAATCAAAACTAGTGCTATCACAAGTGGTGGAGAGAGAATCAATAACATTTCATAGTCTTTGCAATTRTAGTAGCTGTTATACTGTGTGAGCATAGAGCTCCTTTTATGTGTGTTTGTGTATATGCACACAGCAATGCCCATGCCTAAACAAAGGGGCTTAGAAATCATGGTATGAGACCTACTTGTTCTGCAGTCCACTGTCAATGTTTTCCTCATTATACGTGTTTGATGTAGTGAGAAAATCAATTACTATTGTCCACGGATATGTTTTCACTACCAGGTGTGCACACAACGTTTCTAGTAAAGTTTTATAAAATCTAAAACTAGCTGGATCCCAAGCTTTGCTTGGGACTTTTTGGATAAGTGCAGGTTAGTGATTTTAGTCCTTCTGCAGTGTAGCAACTCCATATGCAAACACCCAAATATCTATACCCAATTAGCTTTAGCTTTGTTTCAAAGACAAAGCTAGATAAACGATTCCTCTTCTTCACTGTGAAAGCTTGCAATTTCTGGTCGCGATGAATCAGAATGGGAAGGCATTTAACTTCCCTCCAATACTTGAACAAAGTTCCAGGACTACTTTGCTGTAATATAATAGCATCTAAAGCAGCATTTCTACCAATTCTGGCACCATGTCTCTGGCCTCTCTCCAACTTCTGCTTGTAAGTGCATTCACATGCTGGGCTACTGAGATCTATAGAGATTACCCAGTTATGCATTTGTGCATATAATAGAATATACCATGTGTGAATATCTTCAAGAAGACAGGCTGGACCACCTTGGACAAGATCAAGGTAAGACACGTCTCAGGAGAGCACTCTTTGGAGAACATCTACATTGCACTGAGTGCCCTTGTGGTGGAAGCAGWGTCTGACAAATACTCTTTCTTGGCCCTCTGAAGCCAAGTGCTGCTTCTTCACAGCTCCAGCCAAATCCATATCAAGCAGGCCAAAACTAACAATAAACACTCCGCACAGYGTTTATTTTAGCTTAAGTCAGATAATCTGCTGCAAGTTTGACTTGAGATGGCTTCCTTGCCATAAGGAGATGCTACATGCTGTTTCTAGCCTACTAGTACTAGCCTACAGGGCTAGGATTTTGCCAGTTCTGTTGAATTCAAGGCCAGAAGAGAAGAAACTAAATATAGAATCTGTAAAAAGCCAAGACATGTTTATTTAACAGCATCAAAGCAGTCTGGCTTGGACTAGAAGAAGTTAGACAACTTCTGGCGACCAATATGACAGTTTCCTCTGTTTTTGTATCACAAAAATAGCATATAAGATGTTAGGGTTTTTAAGCCTAAAGACACTACAGAACCCATCTTGGAAATCTCTGGAATCTGGGGAGAATGCTTGACTCAGAAAATGGGACTGTTGCATATCAGAACATCAGTGGCTAGTGGCCACTTGAGCYAGCAGAAGGTAGGGGTGGAACAGGCCAGGTCTGAGATAGCGTAGCAGAGCTGCTGCTGAAAGACTTGATTCATGGGAAGACAAAGACAAGATGATTTACCAGAACTGGATAGTGAATAAGAGTATCTTCAAACGTAATACTGAAAATTTTGCCTTTCGGAGGCATCRAATGCTTAGAGCGAGTTCATTCATAAGGTGCATTCTGGTGAGATAAAGCGTTTTATTTCCAGCTTTATCTTCATGCATGTTACCTTTTACTTTTGTTGTAGCCTGATGTAATTGTTGAGGCTGCTGGGAACCAACAACTTTTGTTTGTTTTATTTTGCAGCCCCTGGCTAAAGGAGCTTTTCTTCGGGGGATAGGCTTAAATCTGGCAACAGGACGTTTCACAGCACCTGTGTCTGGAATCTACCAGTTTTCAGCCAACATCCACGTTGGTGAGTTTGGTCCACAGAAGCCAATAAAAGATATTAGAAAGAACAAACATGATGGGATAGAGAAGACCGGGTCAGTTTTAACTGTGAAGTGCCACCAGTGCATTCCTCCAATTATATCCATCCTTCAGTGATGTTTTAAGGGCGCTTTCTTAAGAAACTAAAATGTTATGTAGCTTCTGTGATTCTGTTAAGCCAAACGCCGGCAGATTGTTGTCAGCTCTGTTGAAAAGGGCTCGTTTTTGTTTCTCTGCTTTCCCAAGACCACAGCGAGCTGAAGAGTAAAGTCCAGCTCCGAGCCAGAGACAACATCCGAGTGTTGATCTGCATTGAATCTCTCTGCCACCGATACACGTGAGTTACTGCAGTGCTGTCTTGGTTATTTTTGTCTGATGCCATATGAACAAGAAACTTTTTTTCCTAAAAAACCTTCTTTTCCTCTTGTTCAGTGTAGAACTCTGCTTTACACTGTCTTCAGTTACAGAATAATATAGAAGACCTAAATTCAGTTTTCAAGKAGCACACAACTTCTGATTTCTCCGAGATTTAGAGAGTGCTACAAGGAAACTGAGATAGCTGAAAGTAATTGCCTGAACGTAGATGAAATCTGATTGCCATTTTTTATGCATCTAAGCATTGTGAGCTAATGGGAAAGGTTCTCATTATATCTTCATTAGAAAGCTATTTTCAGAATATTTCTTAAACCTCACAGTCATTACTTGAAAATAAATCTCTGATTTATAGAATCTATGAAGCCGTCGTGTGTTGGTTTGAGGCTTGTTTGTTTTAAAGACCTGATATTTTTAGAGCTCGAAGCTCTTTGGAAATAATTCACAGTAGATCCTCTTTTTTTCCGAGCAGGAAAGATAAACCATTTCAAAAACTAACTGAAGATACCAGTGGAGCGTTTTTGTCTTCCTTATCTGATTCCCCAGACTCTCACTGCTTTGATGAAGGCACCAGAGAGAAAACATAGCGGTTTTCTTCTGGGCGGCAAACTCTTCTCTCCAAGGCCACCATCTCTCTGTGTGTCTGTTTTTCCTTTGCTGCYCATTTTAGTCATCCTTACAGCACCRTTGTTGCAGAATGGATGAYGGGCTCTGACTGCTTTATACTTGGCTTTACCCTGGYTTTCTTGTTCTTGAAAACACGACTTAGCCAAAGTATGTTGTGGAGATGTGATTTAGGCTCAGCTGAATAGGAAGCTCTCCTGCAGGTCACTGAAAGTACCATCCTATTATCCTACATTGCAGGCTTTTTCCTCCATAAGCTGCTAACAAACTCTTCTGGTACYAGCTGGTATATATGTGAACAACTCTCTTGCTACCCAGTCCCCAGGCAGATTTTTTGGGAGGTTTTTTAGCCGTCTTGAAGAATTTATAGCTGCACTCTCCAAAGAACAGTAGCAGTAACACTATTTTTATTTTTGCCTAGTCAGGGTCGACCTAAATAACGGTTGTTTAGAGGAGCTCAAGCTCTGTGATGTCTCTGTCTGACTCAGAGTTGTCATGAGCCATGCAGCCATGTATGAACTGTTGTCCTCCAAGGCTGTCCTGCATTGAGCGGGTTGAACAGCAGTGACAGCAAAGTGCCCTGCCTCTGAGACATCTCTCATCTCATGCCGTGGGTGAGAAGATGCCTGGTCTGTGGAGTGGAAGGAAGGTGGGTGGAGGGATGGGAACCTGTCTGGACAGACCTTCTACCGGCACAAGCTAAGCTACTACCAGCACTTGTGGAATTTCCTGAGGATGTCTATGTACACCGGCATTCATTTTAGGGAGTTGAAAGAGCCCTGAGGGCTTTCAGCAGAGGGCAATGGAAACTGAGAGGCAAGGAGACAGTCAGAGAAGGAGAGATTAATGGTGGGAAGTTCCCACCCAAGCTAAGCTTTTGGCAGGATATGATACATAGACTGAGCTCTTCAATCAAGCTGGTGCCAAATATCTTGCTTTCTCTGGGCCAAATTGCCCCTGCCTCATATGCATATTGTTGGAAAGGGGGTTGGAGACAGCACATGCTTGTACTTATTTTTGTCATTATCCCTTCATGGAGAGAGAGAAATAAAAAGACAAGGGAGGAGTGAAAGAGTTGGTTTCTTTTGGGAAAACAACTACAGCTGCTATGCACTGCCATGGCAGATTTGAGTAGAACAAGCCAGGCAAGGAGCTCTGTGTTTTCTATATTCCTTTAGAGCTGTGCTTCCACGGGTTATTCCAGTGGTTGCTGCCTTGCACCTCCTACCACTCATGAGACATATTGGCCAAATAAGGCCAAGGCTCTTTGTGGAGTAGCAAGAGTATAGGCTGTTGAGGACAACAAACGGTTAGAGATGGCATGTAGATAAATCTAAAGTGTGTGTTTAGCACCTGTGAGAGACTGGGAGATGGAGACCACAGGACCTTCAGAAAGGCCTCTGTGGCAGGAGGCTCCTAGTTCCTGCCTCCAGTTGTTTCCAATTCACAATCCTGTAAACTCAGTAAGTCTTCAGTTAGTTACTGTAGTGAAGACCTGGCCCCACTATTCTCTTTCCAAACCTTAGTTGGCTACCCTGCTTATTCTGATTGTGTTTTGCTACTGTTTAGGTCATTGGAAGTCATCGCTGGTCTGGAAAGTAACAGCAAGATCTTCACTGTCTATGTGCATGGCTTACTGCAGCTGCAGGTAACCTTCACAGACTGGGAATCAATGTGCTGCTTTGGTCACCAACACGGCCTTTCACCAGGAGGGAGAAGGTTTTATTAACCTCCTTTCTAAGGAGGCCTAAGGCTAGGCCTAAGCCTAAAGAGGCTGAGTGACTTGCCTGGAGTACCTAGACAGAACTTGTGGCAGGGACAGGAACAAAAGCCAGACTTCCTTGTTGCACATTCTCCTCTTAAACCGCAGTAGCAACCTTCCCTCTAAGGAATGAACATTAATATYTTTCCTTCCCAAATTTCCAATCAGATGTCCCACCCTGTCAATATGAGGGATATCATATTAGCCATTCATGTAATGGGATCTCGAACCGAGATGGTCACTTGTCTGCAGACTCAGAGCCCGGTGCAGTAAGACCCTGAGAAGCACTAAGCAGTTAGTACTCGAGTCCTAAACCAAGAGCACAATTTCACTGCAGGAATTTTCTTCCACCAAGTGAAATCATCAGTGCTGCAATGAAAAAGAATGATCAGATCCAGTCCGCAAGAGTCACAGAAAAGGACAGGGAGACTCCTGTGCTCCTCTGGTGGCACTGAAATGCTTTTATTTCATGTATGACATTGGGCTGAAGTGTCATTTTCTTCGTTCTCCTTTGTTCTCTCTGGGCAGGCTGGTCAATACACCTCCATATTTGTGGACAACAGCGCAGGAGCTCCCGTCACCATCCAGAATGGATCAGATTTCATGGGCATGTTAATGGGTGTGTAACATCAACATCTGCAGCGGGAAGAATATGAATTAGAGCCTTGCAGTATATATTTTGACTGAAGAAGTGTTTACTTTGACCCTCGAGGACTGCTTCCTGTAACTTGTCGGCGTCTTTCTAAACACAGCGAAGAGCCTTTTCTTTTGCAGACACTTCAGCTTGCTTTCATGGGTGCTCAAGGTGCACCCCAGTTCCTCAGAAAAACATGCTTTTATAATTGGGAAGCAAACTCTGTACTCTTCAAYTTGCGCTTCGTCAGATGATCGCTGAACAATACACTGAAGTTTGGAATTTGTTATAACGTTGTCRCAATAACACTTGTAATTAGCATGTCTTTGGCATTGGTTTTTGGGATATTTGAGTTTGTAAATGAAGGATTCGGATGAGAAGTAAAGTAGAGGCTGTATTCTGTGTGTTGTGGAGGAAGAAGACAAGGATTTGCCAGCAAAACTGTTTTTTCATACAGCTGGAAAAGGTGCAGGTGCTCTGCCTTACTCCGCTCGGATATACCTGGAAAGAGGCATGTTGAATACTCAGACAAAACCCATTTGCAGGTGTGAACATGAGGCCTCAGCTTTTCAGTTGTTGTTTCTTTGCATCTAAATATTTTTATGATCTACTGATGTAGCTGAATAATTTCTTGCCTGCATAGTTTTGTTTTTGTGAAGGGGTAGGACCTACCATGCAAGGGTACCAGCTCTATCATGAGCAACACGTATTCTTATGTTTTAGTAAGATGCAGGTTTGGTTTTGGCCATATATTCATTTAAAAATGTGTCAGATTACACTCGAACCAAAAGGTGGGTAAGGACAGCAAAAAGAGCAGCCTCAGATCAGATCTGGCACCTGTTTATGGTTTACTGTTTGCATTGAAATAATGAAAGCAAGCCTAGGATAAGGCTTTTTTCCATTGGGTGCCCAGGGTCAAGAAAGTCTAGCTGAGCTCTTTGAGGCTGTCAAAGACCTTATGAAAGCCAAATTCTGAGTTTTTGCAAGTCTCTGTTTGCAAATATAAGAATACAAAGCTGATGCTCAAAAGCAGCTTTTCCTGTAGCACCAGGCTATGAACTCATCTTAGTAAAGTCAAAAGAAACTAGCAGTTCATGCATCCGTCAGTATGTTGCCCAAGATGTGGTTAACAACTCTGTAATCACAAATCAAATTAAAACACTCATTTCATGCACCCCTGTAGCTTACCCCTTTAGACTTGCCTCTGTTGATGCAACTTAACTAAGGAAGTGGCAGGATAATAATCTGATAAATGGGTAGTAGCAAGGCCAAGAGTGGAGTCCAGATACTTTATGGACTGAATGTCCATGGTGAAGAGGAGATCCATTGTACGCTGGTGTAATTTTGGATGATCTGCTGAATCACCTTCGTGCAATGAAAACAGACACTTCTGGGTGCCCTGGGACACTTGTAAGATTGCCTGCTGCTGTGTCTGTAGGTCAGAATGATCAAAATCTGCTGCTTTTACAAACTTCAGTAGTACTGCTGTTGAGGTTGGTGCAAAAAGATGTCTTGTTTCAAGAGCTGTGGAGAAATCTGCTGCAATGTGGCAGAAACTACTTTTTTCAAATCTCTATTCAAAATACCTGCAGACAAACCTTTAGGGAAAAGCTAAATAGTATTTTCCCTTTGCTAAGAATGTGTTCCAGCGGTAGCTAATGGAAGAGAGAGCAGAGAGTAGCAGGCATAGTCTAACAGTGCTGTTCTATACACAGATAAATTCATCCTTCTAGTCAGCAGAACGAAACTTCCAGCTGGATCTGTCTGAAACATAGGAGCTGTCAAGGTGTGTATGACCCTGACTTGCTTCTTGCTTCACAATCCACGTTAGCGATTCCTATGGACTTTCGCAGTATACTTTGGAGAAAATGCACTTCGAAGCCCAAGGTATGGTGCTCCCCTGGCAGATGGCATGGCAAACAGCCCAGTAAAGTTGTGGGGGCTTCAGAAAGCACGCAGCACACGTGAATATCACGAATGCTATCAGCAAAGGTTCTGTTTACATTGGGTTTTAACGGAGTAGATGTAGTCAGGGCAAGGGCCCTACCTCCCAACATGTATTACTCTATATTGTGTGGATATTTGTAATAAATGGGGCTGTTTCATATATGACTTACAGCAACAAAAACAGTGTGTTGTGACATTCAATGTACATTGTTATGGGCTTTTTTTGACCAAACTCTCACTGTTCTTGGTAACTCGGAGTTAAAATATTTATTTTGTTGTAGAACTAAAAGTGTTTGTCTGACTTTCTTTTGGGATTTATGACCTTCCCCTGTTGCCTCCCTCCCACTCCATTGCATTTTACCCCTATACATTTCTTAGGATGAGATGGTTCGTTGTTTCTTTTGAGTTTGTCCTGAGTCCACCACCAACAGGAGAAAGCTTATGGGATTTTGCTCATCTCTCTTTATCCTCAGGGCAAGAAGAATCATTGCTTAAGAGTTCTGTGCATCAGCATGGCCTCTTTGAGCTCTGAATGTCCCAGCTTGAGGCTTTACCAGCAGTCAAGGGAAGCTTGAGGTTGTCCTACCAGTATTAAGATGGTGGTGAGATGAAGCAAAGCGGTTTGAAGCAAGCTGGGATTGCCCTTTGCATGTGCACAAGACTCATGGAAAGTAYGGACCAAGATGAAAACAAAAGCCTTCTGCCCGGGCGATGGCCAGGAGAAATGCTCTGCTGGCTTCAGTGCTCTTGGGAGGTTGAGGAGATTAATGGTGTGAGGAGCAGAGKCTCAGTGCTCCTTTGTTTGCAGCTCCTCTGATTGGGGTCATCAAATTTATAGTCAAAGAGAACATGACGACTGAGGAAGGCTTGAGTTCAGTGCGGGGAAGTTGTTTATAACAAAATAAAAGCCATGTGCTTGAGTGTAGAGTGTCATGGCTGAGGGTGTTAATCCCACCCAAAGGGAATGGAGGAGGTCTCAGGCAGACAAGAGGGAGAAATCTCAAATTAAACAGCTCTTTTTGAGAAGTCTGCATCTTCAACCTGCCCAGACTATGAAAAGGCCCTCAGAGAGGAGAGGTTCTGCCTGGTTCACTAAAAATCTTTGTTACAATCTTCGTTGAACTTATTTTTCTGGGTCCAGTTCAAAGGAAGAAAAATACAGTACAAATGCCAACCCTTTTGTAGGATTCGGTGCTCTCTGCAGCTCTCTCTGAACTGAGGGAGATTTGGRCTTGCTGATCTTGAAGATCTTTTCCAACCCTAATCATTCTAGGAGGGACGTGTGTTCATTCTCCCGGGTTCTGAGACTCCTTGCATGAATTCTCCCTACCAGAGGGAGCCTTTTGCCTCTAAGATACTGCCCCCGAATTTGATGTTCCAGTCCCATACAACTCTCCGAGCTGAACAGTGTCATATCCTGGGTTGCACAGAGCTCTTTCTGGTCGCTACAGATCCCTCTTGCACAGACCGTGATGTAAACAGACTGCTTTGCTGCATGGCTTAGATTTCAGGAACAATAAACGGAGCCATAACAGCATGAGCAATAAATACTCATTTCAGTGTCTATTAAAATGATTATTTTTTGCTCATAATTCCATATTCTAAACAGAGGCCATCTAAAAGTTTCCAGGTTCAGTCTAGAGTTACTCATTTAGTGAGGTGATAGACACTACAACCCCGTGCTTGCAGGGTCTGCCTCTGCTCTTGCCTCAAAGCTCTAGGCTGGATGGTGCTGCTTGACGGCTCTTTTAGCTCCCTCAGCTTTGGGTGCCTCTCACAAAACGGGGTGACACCAGTGGTTTACGAACCTAAGGCCAGTGGAAAATCTGGCACAAATGCCAGGATTTTACCCCAGAGTGCAGACATTTGGGTCTAGTCTGGGGGTTAACTCTAGAGCTGCTTTCCACGTGTTTCTGCTGGCATGGCAGCTAGGAACGTCATGATATGAGTTTTATGGATAAAGCATTGCTGGATTGTCCTGATACTGCCTTTTTCCACTGCTCCCATGCTTACACCTTTGCTAGTTGCCTTAGAAGCGCACGGAAAACTGCCGAATTAGCATTTTGCATGCAGGTTCTGTAGCAGATTCTCTGCACTTAATCCACACCGGGCCTTGAAGAAGCTCCCAGACAGACTGCGTTAATGCACTGAGCAGAGCTAGCTCTGTAATGTCCAATTTGCACCTCTGCTCACTGCTTAAAAGCAAATTTCTAGGCACTAGGATTCCCAGCACAGGCAGCCTGTGAGTATTTTCCCTGGCTGGGAGCTGACAGGTTATGGGGTTTTAAGCTCTATTCAAATTTCAAGTTTTGTAAATGTTTTTGATGCCACACTCCAGACTGACTCCAGGGCTATTTATGTTGGATTAGCAGCRGCTTGCCTGCCTTTCTTCACAGCAGAAGAGAGCCCAGCACATGTAAACTCCCCTTGAATGGTGGGCTATTAGCCTTCAAGCAAAATGATTGCTTTTTCTTATAAAACTCAGTTATAAATAGGTGCACATTATAAACCAGTGCTAAGGATGATGATGAAATCAAACAGAAAGAGAGAACCTCCCAAAGATGTTTCTCTTAGAGAAGCCTGTGCATGCAAGTGAGCAATAGAGTTTAGTTAAAYAGTCAGTTAGTCTTAAAGGAAAACTCAGGGGTAATAATGAAAGCTAGTCTGAGCTGGTGACTCTAGACTAAAATCAGTCCTATATAYGCCTTAATGCTATATGATATTTACGAATTAAAAAACATGTATTTTGCAACTACCTGCACAGAGAAAGGCCTGCACTAACAGCAAATAAGAGGCATGAGTCTGTTAAGGATCTAGAGGAAAATTAATGGACTGCAAGCCCTGCCAAAATAGAGCTGTGTACCTAGAAACCCTGAGTCTTTGCTGCTTTGTGTCCTAGCCCATATATATCGAATGAAAAATATCAGGCTCTGGTTGATTGCCTGACCTATTMCTGAGGTTGGAGTGGTATCAATGAAGATTGATTCCACTCAGGTGAGTTCAGGTATCCCAAATTGCTTCAGGATGGTCAAAATCCTTCAGTTCCTCAGCAGCCTCTCTTCCTCTAATCACTGCTTGGAAAGGGTGGATGGGCTCCTGCAATGACCCTCTGGATGAGTAGCTGCTGGATCCCTGTGGATTGGAAGAGTTACGGCTGTAGGTTTGTCACCCAGCTTTGTTATTGGATGTCTGGAAAGAATCTCCTCGTGTTTGTATGTCCTTTATCCCCAAAGTGTTTTCCCTGTTCTTTGAGGAGTACCTTTTTTCCCCTTTGCTTAGAGCAGGCAATTCTGGGTTAAAAAAGCCTTGCAGGTTTCCAAGTAGCCCTTGGATTTTGGCCGTAAGAATAAGAATTAAATGAGAGGCTGAGAGGTCTTCTCCTCGTGAATATGAATTGGTTGTAAACCATGAGAGCCTTTCCATGCTGTTTAATCTTCTGCAAAGTGTCTTCACAAGAGGCACCCAACCTACCCCGTCTACTGAAGCAAACAGGATTTAACAGCAAAACTGGAGCCTTTCAAGGCTTCTGAATGGTTTTAGGTCCCTACAACCACAGAGAGTTATTCCCTATCCACAGAGAGTTATTCCCTATCCATCCTAAGCTAGGACTAACTCAGTTGTTCATTATGATAACAATTTAACTGCTCTAGCTGTGGCCAGCTTGCTGAGACCTGCAGTGTTAAAAGCTGCTTGGAAAGTGCGTTCTTGCAATCGTGGCCTTGGCTTAYGTGGTGCAGATATTGCTTATTTTCCTTAAGGAGCTTGGAGGTGTTGAGGACAAGGTGACACAAGGAGCTGGAGCAGCACTGGGTTGGTGAGAAGCAGTAAAATGCCCCAAACTTGGGGAAGAAAAGGAGCAAAGCTGCATTCTGGGCATCTCTTGTGTCTCATCCAGGCTCTCAAGGCTTGTTTGTAATTCCTGATGATKCTTTTGAGTGTTTTTCTTAGGGCAAAACAAGGCAAACTGCAGAGTTATTGCTCAGCTGGAGGTGAGGAAACCCTGACCTGGGAGCGTTTCCAGGTTCAGCCACAGGCTGAAAAGGTCTGGAAAGGTCATCCCTTGATTTTCTGGTCCTGTGCTGCTCTCTTCTCTGGTTTGGATGAGACAGTTTGGCTAAATCCTCACCTGGGCTAAACCAGGACCATCCCACTGAAATCAGGGAAGATTTCCGTGCAGAAGATTTGGTTCCTCCAGCAGTAGGTGCTGAGCTGGGTCGAGTTCACCCGGGGCTGCTCTCCAGCCTTGTCCTCGCTTTGAAGCRCTGTGAATCTCGAACGGCACTTTCAGGCTGCTGCCT